CGCGAGAGACGCAGAAGGCCGTGGCGGCTGTGACGGCGGTGTGTGTGGAGCGTGGAGCCGCCGGGAGCTGCGTGGATCTGCGTGGGGCTGCGTAGATGACAGGCAGCAGGGGGTGGCCTGACGGCTGACGGCTGACACGGAGCATTCGCGCGGCCGATTGTTCGTGCGCCCGCAATGATCGAAATCAAAAATCAGAAAGCAGACCGGGTGACCGACAGCGCGAGCCGGGTCTATTTTCAATTTTTCCATCTTTTTTTCTCTTCCTTCGTTGCGATCTTCCTCCCCGATCGTGTCACGTTAGAAATTCCGCGTCGAATATCCGCGCTAATTTTTCGCAAATCTTCGCTCCGCGAATTGCAATTGACCGACCTCGCTTTAGATCCGAAATTCGTGACGGAATTATACGCGAAATCGAGAACAAACCGAAAGCAAACAATCGGGATACGTAAAACGCGTGTAAAATATATGAGATTACGCACGCGGGAGGTGATGACGCTTCGTCGCAAATTATACATAGACCTCAAATCTAAAGTGAGCTTTTGCGAGAAAAAAATATCGAGATAAATATATTTTTAGAGAGAAAGGAATAACGTCGTAAGGTCGACGCGTGTGTTGGACTGCAGGAATTTTCCGCAACTGTGCCCTTTCATATTTTGCGCTTTCGTCCGCGTTCGCTGTTTATCTTCTTCTCCTCGCCGAGCTTGTATATTATGCATCAGGAAATCTTGGAATCGCAGATCCGCGAACTTTTCACGCGCATAACGTGCTGAATAACACTTGATTTCGCTCTTTCAAATCATGAGCTTTCAGTACGGTAGTTTATTTTTTCTTTCCTTATTAAATATAGATGCGCATAAATAGGCGCGCTGAGAAGATTCTCAATTTATACTTTCGCAGAACTTTTTACGTGCGCAGCACATTGGATAACGCGTCGATTAAAACCCGTACCGTTACCTACCCCCGCCTTCATCCTCCCCCCCCCCGTTCCACGTTGTGGAATAATTAACCGCTATGCAGCAGCGTACCGCGAAACGACACGATCGATTTTAGGTCACGATCGTTCGCCCGTAATCCGATTAGTTTCTGCAACAAAATGATAAGTAGGGACAACACAGCGCAATAAACAATGAACGCCAGAGCGGAGGCGATAAAGCTATCGTCAGCGACGTGGCTCGCGTTTTATTGTTAAGCGAAAAAAGTTGGGATTCGCCAAAGATATTCGGAAGTAAGGCGCAATATTTTTTAAATTTCTACATCTACTTCATGATAATATCATAATTAATGCTGCAGTTTCTGCAGCACACAACATAAAACATTATATTTACTTTACCTTAGAATATTACACTCATTATTATTGTAACGCCGTATAAAGAATTGCTACTATTACCTGCACAGTCACAAATTTCGCACACACACAGTCGCATTAAAGCTTAATGTTGAGAGTAATTTTCGAAAGTGCGAGTAAAGCAAAGAAAATTAAGAACGCGAGAGTACATTTTTCATAGTATTTTCAAACATACGCGACTCTCGACAGTCTGTTTCTCAGACGGGGGCGTCAGCTTGATTCAGCGAATCAAAGTAAGTAAGAAAATGACCCTCGACGAAGTGTTTCTTTCGAATGAACATTAACTATTAGACTCTCGGTCCTTGCTTCACCGCCGTGGCGTCACACGTGGCGACGTTTCGCCAATGTCAAAACGGCAAGAAAACACTTTACGCGCGCGCGCGTCAAAGAACCGTGCTTCTCGCTCCATTGAGGGAGCCGGGTGTAATTTCCTGTCAATTTGCGCGGCGCGCTTTGTGCGACGAGAACACGACGACGAATGTCACGTCTTCCAAACGTTCTCGCGCGAGCAGGGGAGCGTGCGGGAAGCAGCGCGAAGCAGCGCGAAGCAGCACGCGCGGGGCGAAACACCGTTGGCGTATCGCTTTTTCTCTCTATCTCTCTCTCTCTCTCTCTTCCTCTCTTTTGCCGCAGGCCTCCGTAAATACTTTAATACGTTACTTCGATCGTGTCCTGCTATTATTTACTAACACACAGTCGCTACACCCGAGCTATTCTCTATTTTTATCTAAAGTTATAACCAGCCCGGGGATAACCGGGATAATTTGCCTCCGTCGAGATTTTCACGGATTACAATTACGTTCGCTTCGCCTCGCATTCGTTGGGGAGCCTTATTTTCACTCATTTCGGTATCGGCGTCGGATATTCGATGTCATCTCCAATCGCACAGCGCGTCGGGCGACGATTCAGTAGAAAAACCTCGAACATTATCAGCCGCGTCGCGTCGCGAGCTAAATACAAGAAGCGGAGGAACGTCGAATTTTTATATTAGCTCGTACAATCGGACGCGTTCGGAATTATATTATACTTCTCTCCATCGAGATTTATCGATCGCGATATTTTTCAGCTAATTTTCAATCAATTGGTGTCGTTTGACCCCGTTTAATCCGATGAGATCCAATCGTGTAGCCCTTCGACGAGAGATCCACGAGCGGAAACATAAATCGGGACGACCGGTTAGTGCCGAAAGCTCGGCAAAGCGCAAAGATTGAGCTTAACTGCGACGAGCGAAAAGCTAAAAAGCGACCGAGGGGTCATGGAGCGACGGAGTGTGAACGCGATGAGCAAACGTCGGACGCGCGCAAACACACGGCCGAGTGGCCTTTGCTTTTCGTTCGCACGCCCAATCAGGATCGGAATTAAAAATAGGGACGCGCTGATACATAGCCACGGTTACGCTCGATTCCACAATTATGCATTTCCTCGATTCAGCATTCGACTACTATTTTTCAGCAGCGGCTGACGCGACGCGACGCGCGAGATCGCCGTCAATCACTCGTTTTTGTTAATAGAAAGTCTGGATTCCCGGCTGGCCTACCAATGTCGCCGCTTCTAAAAAAGGGAAGACAGAATGTGAAGCAATTATCTCTTCCCCTTCCTTTTTCTATAAGCTGCGATGATTGAAATTAACTCGAAAATTTAATAGAACGTAGCAAATTATTTTTTATTTACTTCGCTCGCATTTAAAAGAATATTTAGAGTGTTAATAATTTTAATATCGCCGGCGAATTACGAATGGAACTGCGTTGTTTGTTGGATATTTATTATCTTGTAAATTGCAATTTGTAATTACTCGCGCTTGAGTCGCAGAATCAAATTATCCACATTTGCAAATCCGTAATGTCATTGCACGCAGTTATAAAAACTTTGCGAATATATGTGCATTAAATAGGTCAAAGCTGTTCCACCAATCTCCAATAATATCGTACAAAACTAAAAAAAAAGAATACATATTTTTTTCGTGAGAAATCGATACTCGCTTTAATATGGAACATTAAGAATATTGCATTGCACGTTAAACGTGTGCAAACACGAGTTACTTCGAAATGTTTCGTGGATAAACGCGTGGAAGAGTCCTCGCGGTTGCGAAGTCACGTTCCAGCGTTGATGAAATCAGCACTTAAGTGCGGCCGCGTTTCAAGAATATACCTATGCAAGCCCTTACATCGCTGTAAATGTGATTTCTTCGTCCGATAAATCGGCGGAACACGGAATTTTTTAAATAACAATTTACAGGAGAGATTTGCCGGCTGTATAATTTGTTTCGCCGATTATAATAGTCGAATGAGCTTTCTATTATATTAATTACAAATTACGACACAAAAAGATCTTTTCGTTGCGATCTTTTGATAATAATAATATTAATTATTGGCAGTGTCAATTGTCCTTTTATATAATGATACTGCAATCACAACAATGTTTTGTAAAGTCGTTCTTTTAATCTACTAAAAGCTTCCCTCGCCAAATTTATCGAACTGTCCATGGCGGCGCAGTCGATATCGTCATTGTGTTGCGGAGAAGCAACCGGTGCGAGAACGAACGAAAGCAAAAGGAAGATAGGAAGGAAGGAAGGAAGGAAGGAAGGCACGAAGTTTCGGCGGCCGGCGAACGATTTTTCTTTGCCGGGCGCGCTGCATTGCGGCTGCGACGCGGCTGCAACGCGACGCGATGCGACGCATGGCCGTGTCGTCGCCGTGCGCTCAGCATCGAAAATGCGGTACCATCATTACCGCGCAAGAGAGAAAAAGAAAAGAATGATAAACACACTCGTAACAATAATCAAGACGTACGCGAGCCGGAATGCGGATGATGGAGCGAATAGAAATTCGATGGAAACCCGAATTCCTTCTTGGAAGATCAATTTTCGCTATTAATATTGTTATTAATAATTCTTTATTATATTTCGGTTTTGCGTAATCAGTTTCTTTTCTTTTTCAACTAAGTACGGCTTTACATAGCGTCCAATCGCGTAAAAACGAAATCCACGAGGTTTTCATTCGGGGAGTTGATCCGCTTCGTTTCGAGATCGACCGACGAAAGAAAGCGGCAGTCTCTTGGGGCGCCGCGGGGTGGAAACGTCGAAACGAGACCGAGAGCGAGAGAAAATAGGGCTCGGTGTCTGGTTCGGTGCCTGGTACACCCCCGACCGCGCGTCTCGCCGCTTTTATCGCGCATGCCGCGAACGGGCGAATTTCCGATCGCCGGAGTCGGGGAACCCGCGAAATATCAAGCCGGCGCGCCGATGCCTATCTTCTCCTTCGCGAAAGAAATTATACGGCGTCCCTCGACAATCGCCCACGGAGGGCGCGGGGCGCGAGGAACGGAAGAAATCGGGGGTTGTCGGAGGGAGAGCGCGACGTTTCCATAAAACACACATACATCAGCCTATCAGCGGATCGCGATAATTTTCCACGGCGACTTGGCGCGTCGCCCGTTCCGCTTATTAATGTATGTTAATGTATTCGGAATACTTCGACTCGCGCGGAAGATAGGGGACGGCGAGGGTGAGTTAACGAGGCGGGAGACCTTTTAGGTTTTAACGACTCCGACCGCTGCAAAAACGCAGCAGGCGTGTTCGGGCGAGAAGCGCGCGGCGGCGAGTAGATTAGGTCAATATTTGGCTCACTTACGCGGGTAACCGGGTCAAGGATTGCCGCCGCCGTCGCCGAATGCGTCTCTATCGTTTCCGATAACGTGTATTATCGATGTATATCGTATTCGTTCCACCTCCTCACCCCCCCCCCCCTCCCTCCCCCTGCGCACTTTCCGCGTTGTTACCGCTTTCCATTCTTTCCTCCCGCGCTTCGCATTCTCCGGCTTGTCGCCGCGCCTCCATCAGATTCCAATAACCTCGTTCGAAATATTAGATATCAGAATCGTGAAATATCGAGAGGGGCAGAATTCGTTTTTTTTTTAAATATTTATTTTTTATCATTCATCGAGTTATTTTCTCGCGTTCTCTTCAACAATGAATTTCCCTCAGTCTGATGCGATCTGCCACGAATTCGAGTGATTTCTCTTCGAGATTGGCGTCCAAACGGAGCGCTCCGAGACTTGAAGAGTCGTCTCTCCGGTCTTAAGCAGGTCTGAAAACGCGACCACTTCGGTGGCGGATCGTGAACGGATGGTTGGGTTGACCTAGAGATGTCACTGGGTTAGCGTGTCCATGGGCCATCCATAACGCCGGCGATGATACCGGGCGATACACGCTCGCTTCTACCCTGTCATAGAGACGAGACTGCGGCGGCGGCGGCGGCCGGGTCCGACTGACCCGCTGGCGTGTTTCCGGTCTGCAGCGGTGGAATATGCAAAACCGGCGGTTCGATGTCTCGCGAGAAGGGAGATGATGACGACGTGCGGTTGATTATTTTCTAAAATACTCTCCTTCTCTCTCTCTCTCTCTCTCTCTCTCTCTCTCTCTCTCTTGTTGTTTGTCTCTCGTCTTTTTTCGCGTGAATGTTTGACGACACGAGTATTTCAAGTAACAATCGAAATCACCGCGATCTCGATTAATTCTTGAACGAAGCGTATATCCAGGTGTTCCAGAATTCTCGAATCCTTGTGTTACTACAGCCACTTTAGAGACTTTAGTTTTTTTAACAAAAATATCGAGGAATATTGTTATTCACATCCTATCTCTGTCATTTTTTCCGCGTACATATCTATGAACTTTAAATTAAACTGTGGCTAAAAAAACAATATTACAATAATATATTAGTAAAAAATATAATATTCAAGGCTAATTATCGAAACACTTCGCAATTTCAATTGTTGGGCTGTGAAATATCGCCGTGGAAAAATCTCGTAAGAAAAATCAATTTCAAATCAGCCGAGGAATCTCCGGCGAGTAGGACATCCGGTAATTTTTTTTCCTCGAGACAGCCAGTACGGGGTTATGCCTATGCATATTTCGCATCGAGCAGCCGGCCGGTCTCATCTTTCACCCCGCGCGCGCGAGGGTAATTTTCTAAATGTCCGCGCCGCGAAACTCAGCCCCGCAGTGCAGCCAGCCAGTCAGCCAGCCAGCCATCCAGCCAGCCAGCCAGCCAGCCAGCCAGCCAGTCAGCCAGCCAGCCAGCCAGCCAGTCAAGCCGAGCCAGTGACGCCCTGACCTTTCGTTTCTCGGTCAACGATCGTCCGTGTGCTCGTACACGTGTGCCTGTGTGTGTGTAACGAAAATTCGCAGACGTTCCTCCCCGACATCCAGCCCGTCGTCGTCGGATCGCGAGCTGTCGCTCGGTATCCTTAATGAGACGTCCGTTTGAAGGGAACGGTTTTAACGAGAGTAATTGAACGAGAATAGAGCGAAGCTTCTATTTCAAGCCACGCGATCGAAGAGAATATTTCAAGACATTCTAATCTATTTTTTGTTAATTACAAAGTTGTGACTATTGTGATCTCGAAATCGGTATTCCGCTCCGCGCGTCGCAGGATATCCTTCGTTCTCGAGCACGGAGAAAGATTTCCTTCCTTCCTTCCTTCCGCCCCGTCTCGATTCCTTTCGTCCGTTCATATACGAATTCCATGTCGCTGTTCGAGGGGGGAAAGCAAATACACGAGCGACTGGAATTTCTAATAAGCGCATATATACGCCCCACTTTCTGTATTCACTCTCGGACGGCACACGCGGAATTCGCGGATAACGAATTCTGCAGAATTGCTCGCGGGCCGAAATAAAGGGGCGCGCTCTCTCGGAAGAGATGCCGTGTCATCCGGGGATCAAATTTGATATGCGGAAGAAGGGGGGGGGGAGAGATTCATGAAGGAGACAAAGAAATGGAGAGACGAGCACTCTTGGAAAAGAGTGTCGCGTTGCGGGGATGAAATTTAATATGCAAAAGAGAAGGGGATACACGGGACACAAAAAATTCTGTTAGTCCTGGAAAAAATGTGTCGCCACCGTCAAACTTTGCTGCCACAAATGTCAATTATTTTTTTTTTTGTCAACAGAATACAAACTTATATTTCATTACGGCAGATGTTTTTGATTTGTAATATCTTAATTTTATTTTGAAATTACGTTGATTCATTTGCGTTTCTCATTTTCGTTATTACTTTGCTACACTTTCCCCCTTTGGTCTTCAGACAAGGGTTGTATGTGTCAGCGTTTCATCCCCCGTAATTCTGATACACCCTCACTCAATCACTCCAATCAATCACGTCGTGTTACAGAGACGAACGATGCTCTACGAACGAAGAATGTAGACGGGAACGGGGAGGGCAAGCGCGGATCTGCCTGTCGCGGATTCGGAGGAGGACATCGCCGCCGTCTGAAGTTTAATCGTCTCGAGAGCCACGTCGAGCAACTTTCTCGCGTCTTCCTCTCGCTGTAAGTATCGGAAAAAGTCGGAGGAGCGCGGGCGATCCGCGCGGGCGGATAGGAAGGACGGCGGAGGGGTAAAAGCACGGCCGGAAGCTGACGAATTCAATTTCCAGATAGTTACGTAATCGTTATTTCATCGGAGCGAAACATAGCGGTTCGAAGGGAAATATTTCTGGCATTTCGAGCAACGCGATAGCGGCGCGACATCGAGACTTTTTCCTCCTCGCGAAATAAATATCTTTCAGAATTTTAGAAAATACAGCGAAGAAAGAACTCGAGACAGAAGTTAGCAAGTATTAAAAAGTATTTAACAACTAGACGCCGTATCGAGTGATAAAATTTTATATCAGAAACATACGAGACATGCTAAGCACAAAACTTCGCACATGCTCGTTTGAATTAATTTGAAAAAAAAAAAGAAATTTCTCGCACAGCGGAAATTTCTAAAGGAACATTTACTCTATTAGAAGGTCGGAATTAAATAAAGGGACAGACAAGAACCGTATTTCTCTCGTAATTACTAAAGCATTTCCATTAAGACACACACGACCCAAAATCCGACACAATATTGCACAACCGCGGGTTGAAGCTCGGAGTTAATCTCGACTACGATCTCTTATATACACCTCTTTGATCGTGCAAGTGGCACAAAAAATACGCGAAAAATTCACATCGTGAAGTTCTTATTATGATGCTGCGTTATTAAACGGTAAATCTAGGCCGCTTTGAAATACGTTGCACTTTTTCGCATTTGAAAAGTGACTATTTTTAATTAAAACCCTCCACTTTTAATACAGTCTTTCAAAGCATTTTAAACGTAAAGCACGTTAAAAGCGTATCAAGCGACAATTCATACTCTTCGAGAGTGTATATTGAAAAAACATTTAGATACAATATGTAGGGTATATCGAGAGTGTATTATATAAATAGACAATTTTTTTATAAAAATAGGTGGAGCGTGCTCCGCGTCTGTGAATGTTTCTTATATAAAATTTTACATCATGCGATGCCACCTAGTTATTAAATACTTTTTAATATTTACCAAGTGGCGTGCAAAGCACTGTCTGCTTCGTTGTAGATGCAGGCCGAAGATCTAACTTTAGATACTGCGGTTAATCACGTGACGGAAAACACAAGGAAAAAAAAATAAAAAAAAAGGAAGGATCCGCTCGATCGATCTGCATGGTTCAGCCGACGGCCCGCTGGATCACGATCGTATAGTACGTATAGTACGTATAATGCTGCCGCAGTGCCAAGGGAAGTAACTAGTCGCTTCGCTCTAATGCGGCATTCATCGCGGCCTCGCGCTGTCACTCTCATGACCGTTTGCCAGCCGTCATCAGTGCTTCGTTCGGCGGGGAGCACGTTTCGTCTCGCGCGCGAGCTCGCCGTCGCCGAAAAAATCGTCGCGTGCACATCGCCGTACATCGTTATCATATACGATAAACCGCGATAACCCCCGCGGTCCTTCGCGGGCGCGACTCTTAATTGAATAAGTATTCATAAGTATTCATAAGTATCAATAGAGCGAGACCGCGACGAGAGACCGTCGCGCGACAAATATCGTTGAGAAGTCTCGGTGAGTTGAAAAAAGAAAATATTAATTGGCTGATTCGCTTTGCCCTGTCTCTCTCTCCCTCTCTCTCTCTTTTAAAATTATCTTTCCCTTTTCGCTTTCGTTTCTCCTTTTTCGCGAAATTAACGAAGCTGCCACACCGTCCGCGTCCCGAATCTACATTAATCCAAAGCAGACGCTGCTTAAATAAATCAAATCACTCGAAGTAGATGTTAAATTAGATGTAACTATTATTTTATTAGTCAAATTAAATGCTGAAATTAAATTTCGATTGCTGCGGCGCGCTCCGGTTTTATTGAAAACCGCGGCCTTGTTCCCGCCGCGATTGCAGCGCAATTTTGATAGAAACTTTTATCAGCGTTTGCGAGACTCTCCACCGTGCGACTAATAAATTCTAATTTCTGACGACGTTAACGCCGTGATTTCTCTCTCCTCTCTCTCTCGCCTCGTGTGTAAACTTCCGCGTGCGACGACGTTCCCGTGGACGCGCTGCGTGTGACCGAACGTACGTTCGGCCACGCACGGAACACGTAGAAGGAAGTTGCTAATCAACGTGGACCTTCGTGTGGTAACTAGAGAATACTATCATCCTACTAATCCCTCCTAACGTGTGTGAGACAGGAGAGAGAGAGAGAGAGAGAGAGAGAGAGAGAGAGGGAGAGAGAGAGAGAGAAAGAGGGATAAAATCGACGCGCGTTCGTATGAAGCGAATCGCGTATGTTTCGTGTACGAAAGTTCATTCAAAAATTTGTTACGCGATTTTTTTTATTTTCACTTCTCACGCATTATTCTTTGAACAATCTGGAGATGATTTTTTTCAGCAAAAATGTATGATAATTTATAAATCACTGCAAAAGAAAGATTTCTCGTAAATTAAATCGTACAAAATGATTATTTTTTAATTAATATTTTAGATCATTTATTTTAGTAAAGTTTCAAGTTCGAGATTTAGTCATAGATATATATATATATATATATATATATATAATGAAAAAGCTGTGATAAATGGTAACCTTTTTTTCAAAAAAAAATAATGCACAAAAAGTGAGATTTTTTGTAGAGAGGAAAAAATGATATCAATAATACGCGAGAAAAAGCAGGACACCCTCTATATTACTTCCAACTGTCCACCGTGATGGGAAATTTGTGTTCTAAAATTTGGAATCGAAACATTCGTCAATTATGGATTCCGTGTGTTAAAACAAAATCCGCTTTAATTTGTAATTTCGAGGCACTCTGTATATCTCAATATCGTTTTTCGATACATCGAGAATATTCACACCGACGCACATAAAGTGTTTTCCGACCTGCATTTACACGTATAAATGTATAATGTTTAATTCCTAAGGATGGATGTAGAAAATCATTCGCGAAATTTGACTGTTAAAAGATGCAAGATTCCTTTATCATTACATACACATTTTTAAACAACGATTCTCGATGTCATAAATAATATTATCATACATATTTCATCAACATAAATCAATTTAGAATGCATTAAAATTGAAACTGCGGAATGAGATGGCAAAAAATCAACGTAACTTAACTGTAAAAATGTGCGGAGTGATTTAAACGATAAGTAAGGACACGTATGTATGCATCATCCGTCTGTCAGTTACATAACGACCTTATCACGACAATATCATGAATGCTTGACGGAGGAGGCGTGAGAACAGAAAGAGACATGTTCGGAAATATAAAGGTGTGTCTTCATCGGAGTTCGCGAACAATTTACGAACAGATCGCGAACTGTTCTCTTTTTTATGTGAACGTCTGTTCGCGAGCAGCTCGCAAGCTGTTCCTTAATAGTTGATCAGTTAATATTTTTTATTTGTTTGATTGCTGTTAAGTTAGGTGAGCAGTTCGCGAAAAATCAACGAACCGAACACATCGGTGTGGACGTATTTGTGTTGATTAGTGAATTAGCAATAATAATGTTAGGAATGAATCATGGCGAACATTCGACGAACTGGTTCTCCGAAAACGTAAACATTGGTGTGGACAGCAAGTTCAATTTTTGCAGGTGCTCGCGAACTGTTCAAATAGTGTTTGCGATCAGTTTGCGAACAGTTCGCCAACACGGTTTGCAAACCTGTTTCCCGGTGAAGACACACCTTTATTTGAACCGACTATTTGCAATAATCATTCGTGGCCTGACGCGAGTCTTTCTTCACACGGTCCTCCGAAAGACGAAATTTTCGAGGCATTTTTATTCACGAAAAAGAACTATAACGCATATATTATTTGTATCTTTCGGAATATTTTTCAGAAGCGTCCAAAAATCATTTTTCTTGTTTCCCTTTTCGACGGAAACACCATGAGTAATCTGAAATAATAATTGAATGTTAATTGCATTAATAATTATTTTAGCTAAACGCTAGCGATAAATAATTAATCAAGCAATTAAGTAAGTTTGCGTAATGAAATCAAATTACAGTCAATTACCGTCGCGGTTTCGGATGCGCTGAAAATTGCGGCGTGTCTCGCTACAAATAGTTTGAGTTACTCTCAAATAGGGTTGCTTTGTCCCTGCGGGGGTAAGTTTGCGCCATAATAAAAGGAAGTGTTAGAGCGGAAATTCAAGAAGGAAAATTTATGTGGTCTAGTGTTTCGATGTCAACGGGAAACTCGTCGCTCGTCCCTTTACTTCCTCAAGCCACGGACGATCCTAAATTTTTTAATTCGACGCGGAATTTCGCTCCCACGAGGGCGCGATTTCTTATCCGACGGCGCGACGCGAAACTTTTCGAAAATCGTCTCTAGCGTTTTTTTAAAATTACATTGACTGAGATTCGAAGAGGTTTATTTTCTCCCCGATTGTTTCGAAATTAATACGATTCCACGGTATACGGTTGCGCGCGACATCGCTGGCGCATTTTCCTCCGAACATGCATTTTTCATGTCAACCGCTTGCTTGCGTCAGCCGTATGGAACACAGCACAGATTGAAAATAAGTTTCACTCGAGCGTGATCGCTACGTTTCTGCAAGGAGCGTTTATATTTGATATACGGCCGCGAATAAGGCCTGTCTACCGAGTGGCGTCGAGTGAAATATATAAATCATCATTTATTAATCGTAAGCGTATTTCACGCTCAACACCATGACGCATGAATAACCGCGGTAAATAACGTTTTCACGCTGTTAAAAAATTAAGTCCATTATTCGCCGGACGAGAAATAAACCGTTTTCCTCTTTAATCCTTTTTTCAACTCTGCATCGCACAAAAAAAAAACTCCGACGTTGAAAATTAGAAAAAAATATTGATCAGAATTTTCAGAGCCTGGCGGTTAGTTTTAGTGAAACACGTGTGGGATTTTTGCTTCTTGCAGCCGAGTAGGCGCGATGTCGAGAAATCCAAGTTCCTGGCGAACCGGCCCCGGCAGATTGGAGGCCCTGCTGGCGCTGAGTCTGATTCTGTTGCTCGTCCTGCAGCACCCGAGCCCTTGCCACGGTTCGCCGTCTCACCGCAGCAGGCATCATGAGCACGAGATGCAGGAGGCCTGGGAGGCGGCGGCGGCGTCGCGCGAGGGCGCCAGGAATTTCGCGAGAACGAGCGAGGAGCTGCCGGAACCGGCCGCCTTCACCGACAACGATCCTCTGATCGTGCGCACGAAGAAGGGCATGGTCCGCGGTAAGACCTTGAAGGCCGGCACCGGCAAGGAGGTCGACGCCTGGTTCGGTATACCTTACGCCCAGAAACCTCTCGGTAAGCTTCGCCGAAGATTGCAATATAATCATCGATTAATTCCTTGCGTGTGAATCTTGTAGATTTTATTTTACAATTTTTGCCGGCAGGCTCACTGAGGTTTCGCCATCCGCGACCGGTCGAACGCTGGTCGGGCGTGCTGAACGCGACCACCTTGCCGAACAGCTGCGTGCAGATCCTCGACACGGTGTTCGGGGACTTTGCCGGCGCTACCATGTGGAACCCGAACACGCCGCTAAGCGAGGACTGCCTGTACGTGAATGTAGTAGCGCCGCGACCCAGGCCTACGAACGCCGCTGTCATGGTATGGATATTCGGTGGTGAGTTCCCAGTGATGAGAATCCATCATCTCCCTCGCTTGCTCGGTGGTGCCTGAGCGCAATCTCGCGAGCGGAACTTTCTCGCAAAGCTCTTCGTCGCTTACCCTTCACGCGGTGGCTTGAAAAAGTTTCAGGAATCACTTTAATCCGAGTAATCTTATAAATCAGACCAGCCAATTTCGGAAACTTTGCCAAACTTTGCCTTTATTAATCAAAAACTGTTTGCATTACACCGAGATGCTAAGAACGAAAGTAGTTATTAGTTGAAAAATAAAGATAAATTAAACGAGAGATTTTTTATCTTATCTTTTGAAATAAATTTTTATTTAAATAAATATTACGCCGGCACCACTGCGCGGCCGCGAAACCCAAGGATCTCTGCGACCCCTTTTTCAGGTGGCTTCTACTCCGGCTCGGCCACTCTCGACGTGTACGATCACAAGATCCTCGTGTCCGAGGAGAACGTGATTCTGGTGTCGATGCAGTATCGCGTGGCCAGCCTCGGCTTTCTGTACTTCGGCACGTCGGACGTGCCCGGCAACGCCGGTCTCTTCGACCAGATGATGGCCCTGCAATGGGTGCACGACAACATCGCCGCTTTCGGCGGCAATCCCGACAACGTGACGCTCTTCGGCGAGAGCGCCGGTGCGGTCTCCGTCTCCATGCACCTTCTGTCTCCACTTTCCAGGTCAGTTTTCATCCAGCGAATAAGTCTCTCTCTCTCTCTCTCTCTTGAGAAACAAGAATCGAAAGCGATGCGCCTGCAAAATTAAAGAAAGATTTGCTTCTTTCTTGTTTTTTTTAATGAAATTTCGATGAAAATTGAAGAAAAAATTGGACTTTCGGTTCTAGGCATTTGTTCAACCAGGCGATTATGCAGTCGGGCTCGCCGACTACGCCGTGGGCAATAATCACGCGCAACGAATCGATCATGCGCGGCATCCGGCTGGCCGAGGCGGTCGGCTGTCCGCACGAGCGCAGCAATTTGCGCGAGGTGATCGACTGCCTGCAAACTAAGGACGCGGAGGAGCTGGTGAAGAACGAGTGGGGCACCCTGGGCATCTGCGAGTTCCCGTTCGTGCCGGTGATCGACGGCGCGTTCCTCGACGAGACGCCGCAGCGCTCGCTCGCCACGACGTCCTTCAAGAAAACCAACATTCTGATGGGCTCCAACACCGAGGAGGGCTTCTACTTCATCATCTACTACCTGACGGAGCTGTTCCGCATTGACGGCGCCGACGACGTGAAGGTGACGCGCGATCAGTTCGTCAGCGCGGTGTCCGAGCTGAATCCTTACGTCAATCAGATCGGCCGGCACGCTATTATCTACGAGTACACCAACTGGTTGCATCCGGACGATCCGCACGCGAATCGCGACGCCCTCGACAAGATCGTCGGCGACTACCAGTTCACTTGCAACGTCAACGAGTTTGCCGGCCGTTACGCCGACACCGGCAACACCGTCTACATGTACTACTACAAGCACAGGTAAAGAAAAACGCCGCACTTGCACGCGTTGGAGATGTACTTCAATGTTATACGAAAAAATACAATTTTATACTAGATCCGTGAACAATCCGTGGCCGCGGTGGACGGGAGTCATGCACGCTGATGAGATAAACTACGTCTTCGGGGAACCGTTGGACCCGTCCAAGGGCTACACAGCCGACGAGAAGCGTCTCTCGCAGAGAATGATGAGATACTGGGCGAATTTCGCCAAAACGGGGTAAGACGTGCGCTTGATTTTATCGACCGGCGTAATTGATTTTTTAGCTTTATGCACAATTATAAAATAATTTGAAGTAATAGTGTAAGACAAATTAAAGCTATCGTGATTGGAATAAAAATGCATTGCGTCAAAATCAGTAGTGAAAATATATATTTTGCAAAGTGATTAATTAATTTTTATTAAATTTGACTTTGCCTCTTATAAGAATAACACTACCGAAATAGCCGGCCCACTTTAGTTACTCTAAGTTATATAAATACACTGTAATTTAGTATGCTATATAAATTTATTTGTCCTATATTTATTAATATTAAATATTTTATAGTTGGATAACTATAAAAATATTCCGTTCCGTTGCTTAAAAAGTATTCAACACTGAAATATCTTTAAATAGCGAGATTTTAAAAATACCACAAATTTAGTTCTACATATTTCTTTAATGAAAATCTAATTTTGAAGATAATGAAATTATTAATTTTACTTTATTTAATGTGAACGTTCACTAATTTCATCATCGTTAATTTCTTTGAATTATTTTATCAATTTGTATGAATTACCGTAATATCTCAGAACATTATCTGCAGATATTTTGGTATTGCCATTAGAGCATCGAAATCGACGCGGTAGCACAGTGTGGCCGACTGGCTAAGTGCGCGCCATTAATACGCACGATGCCGTATTAATGGCGCGCACTTAGCCAGTCGGCCGGCTCGGCTACATTGTTCTGTTGCGTCGAAACGTTCAGACGCTTAAAATTTAGTAACTCGGCGCAAAATTATCATAGACAAGAAATGAAAAAAGCAATTTAAAGCTTGAAACTTATACTTTTACGTGCTCTAGGCCGTTTTCTAAAAATTTGTTATCTTCACACTTCTAAGCTCAAAGAAAAAACACAGACTTCTCACACTCTGCAGTTCAATAAAAAATTTTTTCTTGAAAAATTTATGACAAGTACCAAAAACTACAATATTTTACCTACAGCACGCTTTTTTTTAAATTTTGCCACGATTTTTTTTGGCCGAGTCAGACGACTTTAAAACCAATTCTACATTTTATAAAAATAACGTATATCATCGACAGTAGCATAAGCGTAAAAAATACAAGTTTACATTCAAAGTCGTATAACTCAGCCAAAAAATTGTAGCAAAATTAAAATAATCGCGTTGTGTGGGTGAAATGTTGTAGTTTTTGACACTGGTAATAAATTTTGCAAGAAAAATATTTTTATCGAGCTGCAGAGTGTTGAACGTATGCAATTTTAAAAACAAAATAATATGTTCTTCTTTTGAGCTTTTGAGAAGTATAAATACAACATATTCAAAATATATAGATAATTTTCAAAAAATTCTCTAAAGCACGTGAAAGTAGAAACGTCAAGCTTCAAAATGCTTTCTTAATTTTTTGTCTGATAATTTTTCGCCGAGTTTCAGTGATTGAAAAATTGCTCGATTTTGAACGTCTGAAAAGAGTTTTTTATTTTTTGTGGCGCACTTAGACATTGCAATTTTGTGTGATCAGGGATCCGAACGTGGACGACGCCGGTAGGAAGACGTCGACTTACTGGCCGCCGCACAACCCTATCAATAAAGAGTACCTGACCTTGGACATCAACAGCACAGAGATCGGCAGCGGTCCCAGGGTGAGGCAATGCGCCTTCTGGAAGAAGTACCTGCCGCAGCTGCTCGGCGCCACGTGTGAGTAATCCCATTGTTCTCTCTCGCAATTGCACGATTGCGTTTTATACGACGTTCGGATTGGTATTTTTTTTTTTTTGTGAAAACAGATCGGACAATTGTTGCACTAATCATTGCTGCACGATAGTTGTGTTTTCCGGATGCAGCCGGCGATCTTTCAGGTCGAACAATCGATCGCGCACGAACCTTCATTCGTACGAGCACAAATTGGAACGACGAGAGTCGATTCATCGAACTGTCGAGGCCCTCGACGCGTTACTTACCGCGCTCCACCACGAATTGTCTTGTGTATGACACCTGTTGAGCGCCAAGTACGTCTGATTGTTCTCGCACAGTCGAACACTGCTTCGGAGAGATCGTCCCGACGTAACTTACGTCAAACAATGCATCCGGAATGTCAACCGCTTCGCCCGGCGAGACGATCGTTTCGGCGCGTCGCGTAATCAGAGAGCGCGCGAGAGATGGGGCGTCATTTCACGAAAGCTGACTCGCGAAAAATCGAATCCGACGAAAGCGAAGCGTATTTTTTCGCAAATAATTTTTCCCCGAACTGTAAAGCGCAGCGCGATGATGGCGAAGCATCGCGAAGATACCTTTCCAGCGCCCTGGAGAACGCTATTGTGTAAGAACGGTACTCAACACACCGTCGCTCGAGTTTACATTATTTATTCAAAACTGCTATCAAGTGCGCTTCGCCAAGTGTCCCACTTAAGGCCGCGGCTGCGTGGCTTCGCGTGGCTTCGACGACGACGAGAGATTTCGCGAGGAAATCTTGGAGACGCGTATAGTCTCCACCCCTTTTCAGCCTCTTTCACAGTCGATCGCCAACGGGTATATTTCATTACTCTTTGCAGCGGAGACCGAAGGGGCTTGTGCTCACTATCGATCGCCGATCGATAAATAATTCCGATATCGCGATAGGAGGCAAGTCGGGAAGAAGCGCAAATCCTGCAAAACAATTTTTAAGTTTTATTTCTCCAATCTCTTCTCGCAGCGCTGTAAGCCGCCGGAAAATGATAAAATTCTGTATTTAACATTTTTCCGATATTTCTCCAAGTTTAGTTTCAGAAATATTATTACGGGAAAAGTCGAATTCTCGTTCGGGAGATGTTTTTATCGCCAACACTATTTCTTTGTCGAGATAGAAAAATAATTATGCAATTATATATTTTTCTTTATCTCTGCGCCTTGGCGAATCTGAAAACCTCGCGGCATTTCGGCGATTAGAATTCGCCGAAAATTGCTCGCATTCACCTTTAGAATACGCCACGGAGCGTTATCGTCTGGCTCGCTAATGGACTTTCATTGCCGAGTCATATATACCACGGTTCCGCATTCGCGATAAGAGCCTGAAATTTGTACCTGCTCGAACAACAACGTCGCTTTATATGATAATTACGATTACGGCGAGCTCCGTCGCTCGCACGCACGCACGGCCGAGATTAAACGGCGTAGCGTGCTGGCGTGTCATCGCGGTCACGAAAGTAATGCCCTTCCTCCTCTCCCCTAACCCCCCACCACCCACCCCCTCCGAGCGTTTTACGACGATCGTATACCAGGAGAGCCATAATAGACAGTTGTTACCGTGAAACTCCCTTTTTTCTGCGTTCGCGCGCGCGC